CATGCCTGTAGTCCCAGCTACTCGGGAGGCTGAGGCAGAAGGATTGCTTGAGCCCAGGAGTTTGAGGTTGCTGTGATAGCCCGGGCAACAAAGTGAGACTCTGTCTCAAAAAAAAAAAATAATAAATAAATAAATAAATGAATGAATGTATGTTTTAATAAAGATAAGTGCTAATATTGCAACTGAATGACATGAGGAATAAATCCTGTGTGGATTGCCCAAGGTTCCACAGCTAGAGGTAACCTCTCAATTTTTCAGCATCCTCCCTATAATATGATAATAATAGTACTGCTTCATAGGGTGGTTGTAAAGAATAAAGGTGTTAATACATGAAAGCCACTAAGAACAGTGATTAAATCTTTTTCCAGTGCACCTCAGGAAATGGGAGTGGGGACTGTCTGTTTCCTTCTTGCTCAGCGCTGCACCAGTAGGCGTGAAATTCTAGGGCCTCCGACTGCAGCAGGGAGGACTCAGGGGCCAGGGGCCAGGCCACTCTCCTGTGATAAGGGCCCTGGTCAGTGGAAGAGGACTCCAGTTGACCAAGGTTTCCTGTCAAAACATGAACAGTGCTGCTGATGTGCTTTTGTTGTTACTCTAGGTCTGGTGAGCTGTACCTTCTTTCTAGCAGTGAATGGTCTATATTCTTCTAGCGATGATGTAATCGAATTAACTCCATCAAATTTCAACCGAGAAGTCATTCAAAGTGATAGTTTGTGGCTTGTAGAATTCTATGCTCCATGGTAAGTAGTACAAAGTAGTTGTAGATTATTTATAGTACTTTGTAAAATTGGGAGAATGCTCTGTAAAAATCTGATTTTGCTAAATCATCTAGTTTATCTAGCTTACTGCTTGTTTAAAAGAAGTAGAGGAGAGGAAAATGGGAACTCCACAAAATGTCTACTCTATTAAAGGCCAAAAAGATTGAGTCTTTTTTTTTTTAAGTGTTTAAAATAGCTAATTGTTGCAAGAAAGAAAAAACCTTATAATTTTAAGATCTATCCTTTGATGAGTTGATGGGGATAGAAGAGAGACTAGTAAGAAAGAATCTTGAGCAAAGGAAAGGGAAGAACCAGTGATTGACTTATTTTGTTTCTTAAAGGGGATTGTTTCCTGAAGTAATTAGAAAATCTGTTTTAACTCAAAAATTCTTCTCTTGCCTTACATTCATTGCTGGAAAAACCCTTGTAGGGTAAAGGGGTAATCACCATTGAAATTAATGGTACAAAATTATATATAGTCACAATACAGTATTGTACTAATTATTTGTGTAGTTAGTGCATTTAGTGCAAAAAAAAAAAAAATACACCAAATAGAAGAGACAAATCAGTGGAAACTATGCAAGATGTACATGAGGCCGTCTCTGCTGCGAACTAGCAGGCCACAGTATCCTGAGAGGAGAACCAAACCCCAGCCAACTGTGTATCTGTAAAGATGAAATGTATAGTGATATGAAATCCAAGGAGTCCTTTTAAATGTTAACAGTGCCTTGAATAAGGGATAGTAAATGAAATTCTCAGTCAAATTCTTGTAACCTGAATGGGTGAATTTTACGTTTCCCTGATGAGAGTTTTTCCTTTATTGCTTTAATTTTTTTCTTTGGAAGACCATGAAACTGAGTTTTAGAAAGTAAATGCCAGTCTTCATGGACTGTTTTCACTGAATGTTTAGTGTAGCAAATTGAGGTAAACCCCGGTCCCGCTTTTTTTTTTTTTTTTTTTTTTTTAGGAGACATTTTAGGTCTCACTGTGTCACTGAGGCTGGAGGAGTGCAGTAGCATGATCATAGCTCACTGCAGCCTCCAACTCCTGAGCTCAAGTGGTCCTCCTGCCTCAGCTTTCCAGAGTGCTGGGATAATAGGTGTGAGCTTCTGTACCCAGCCTAAAACCCTCTATTTTAAAAGTTTATTCTACCACATTGTGAATCCTGTTCACCTTAATGTCTTTACTGTTTTTTAAAGACTCCTATGTTTTTTGTTAAATCAGAAATGCTAATTCTGTATGAGTTGTCTCAATTATATTGTTAACAGTAAATGTACAAACAGTACATTGTACAGAGTTGTACAAACTGTTATATTGTTGAATGCCTTTGTGTGCAGTTTTTACAAATTTGACTTTTTATCATTTATGGCATGGTAATTGACCTTGTTTCTGAGTGCTGCAAATACAAGAGAATATACCTCGTTCTAAAACTATCTCAGCATAATTGAGAAGGCAGGATCTGGATCTGTAGTTAATTGTTACTGTGCTGGCAGAGTTTTACTTCATAGCGTTGTGGGTAAGAGAATGGTTAGAGCAGGTGCTTTTAACCTCTTTGTGCTTGGACTCCTTTGGCAGCTTGGTAAAGGCCTTGAATTCTTTCTTAGAATAAAAGATTTTACATTTTTAAATAACGCATATAGGATCACAAAGGATGAAATACGGTTATCAAAAGATTAAAATAAATTCGATATGGTAATTTATTAATAGTACAGTAAATACAGGTTGAGTATCCCTTATTCAAAATGCCTGGGACCAGAAATGTTTCAGATGTCAGATATTTTTGAATTTTGTAATATTTGCATTACACTTAACCAGTAGAGCATCCCTAACCCAAAATCTGAAATGGTCTAATGAGCGTTTCCTTCTAGTGTCATGTTGGCAATCAAAAAATTTCAGATTTTAGAGCATTTCACTCTTTGGATGATTGATGCTCAACCTGTCCCAAGATCCAGCAGCAGATCTAACATTTACCATAATTCCACATAGTGATGGGTACAAACTGTTTCTGAAACACCGGTAGTGGTGATGTGAAAATAGCTGTGATTTTTATTCATGACAAAGTCACAAGTACTTATCAACTATGGATAATTTAAGAAAATTCTTAATTTCAATTACAGATTAGTGAAAATAGAGACTTTTTCCCCCTATCCACATTCATAGACCTCCTAAGTTTTTATACATCAGCCTTTTGGGAACCTGGACCCCAGGTGAAGAACCTCTGGGTTAGAATGGATGCTATGTTTATAAATTTATGTGGCATTTTGATCTATCTGCGGATCAAAATTGCCTAACATTCAAATTGAAGGGGGTGTGGGTTCTGACATTCTCTGATTTGAATCTTCCTTTCTTAGATAAACTGAAATTAAAGAGACAAAACCCTGCAACACTTTGACTCCTGGGCTTCTGGATATCTCACCTAAGCAACAAAACATACTATATATAAATATTTAGAAATAGCATTTCAGGACATTCCCCTGAAAGATGCTGACTTCAAATACTGGGATTGAGTTTAGGCCCCTGTGGAAGGTGATATTACATGGTGATTAAGAATGTAGTGTTTAGGCCGGGCGCGGTGGCTCACGCCTGTAATCCTAGCTCTCTGGGAGGCCGAGGTGGGTGGATTGTTTGAGCTCAGGAGTTCGAAACCAGCCTGAGCAAGAGCGAGACCCTGTCTCTACTAAAAATAGAAAGAAATTAATCAGACAACTAAAAATATATAGAAAAAATTAGCCGGGCATGGTGGCACATGCCTGTAGTCCCAGCTACTCGGGAGGCTGAGGCAGAAGGATCGCTTGAGCCCAGGAGTTTGAGGTTGCTGTGAGCTAGGTTGACGCCACGGCACTCACTCTAGCCCGGGCAACACAGTGAGACTCTGTCTCAAAAAAAAAAAAAAAAAAGAATGTAGTGTTTAGAATCAAAAACTTGTCAGGAACTCTGTGGCTGTGCTTTGGGGTAAATTTCTTCTCAGCATCCATTTCATCATCTGGAAGATGAAAATAACAATAGGCCCTGCCTTTAGCTTTATGCTGATTAAATGAAATCCCCTATAAAAAGTTTCATCATGGTCCTGCCACGTGGCGTTCGCTCATTAGTTCCTTAGAGACCTAATTAGAAGAGTGTTTACTTTGTTTAAAAAGGATCGAATCACTTATGGATAAATAAACTATGGTATCTGCATACAATGGATGTTACACAGAAATGAAAATGAACAGTATAGCTACTTACGTCGATAAGTGGTAAAAGCATAACAGGTTGGTGTGCATATCATCTTTTAGAGGCAGTTATCTGTGCTGCCTTTCACAATAGTATTTTCTAAATACTGGTATCTACAAGGTTAAGGTTGTCTTTTCTTGTGTTCTTGTCTTCCTTTCCCCTCCCTTCCCCCTACCCCACTCACTCACATCACCATCTTGTGTCACGTCATGTGCGTTTCAGCTTGTTAGGCTCACTAACCTGGGTGTATGTGTGCCTTTCTAACTCCAGCAGCTGTTTGTGAGAGCTGGAGAGCACTGAGCCATAGGCACAGGAGAGCCAGGCCAGATGCCTCTTCTATAAAATGCAAAGGCTGGACTGGATCAGGGAATATCAAACCTTAATAGGTTTAAGAATCACACGTAGAACTTACTAAAATACAGTTTCCTTCTCTAAGAACTTTGTGTTGATGGGGCCCAAGAATCTGCATTTTTCTTAGCCTTACAGTTCCACACGTTGAGGCTTACTGGATCAGATAAATTCTAAAGGGCCTGTTCAGGTACAGAGCTACAGATAATAGGGATTATTTAAACTCTTTAAATATGATTTAACTGAGCAGTAATTTGGAAGCTTTTTTTTTTTAGGAAGATAATCAAAAATGATTGCCGTAAGTAATAAAATGGTGAGCCTCTTCAGGTCACTGATGCTGTTTTATTAGTGCTTGTCCTCTGCAAGCCCCCACCAGGGCATCTCACTCAGTAGACCATTGATGGGTTATTTTTTTATTATTATTATTTTTTTTTCTACTGAATTTTTGAATTCTTTGAATTGAGGATCAAAGGCTTTAACTGTTGCCTTATTTGTGTTTTCTTCCCCCAAAAGGTGTGGTCACTGCCAGAGGTTAACACCAGAATGGAAGAAAGCAGCAACTGCGTTAAAAGTAAGTTTTTAAGATTTCCGTGATATGAATTTTAAACATTCACCTGTGTATGTTTAAATAAGTATGCAGATGGGTTTAAGGTCCAGTAGGAAGCTGATTTGCATATCAAAGTTCAAAATGCTGGTTCTGTTGCCAAAATCATGTAGAGAACAAGGGGATAATAGACATTTTAATTTTTATGTTTGTTTTTGTTCATTTTGTTTCCCAGATAAATGACATAATTACTGTCAGCCATGCCAACTCTGTGAGCTGCAGAGTTCCCTTCCTGGGCTGACTGACATTTCACCTGTTGTTCCATTTAAGATTCTCTTCTGGTATTCAAGGCTAAGCCCTTGTTGACTCTATCGGCAAGCTTCACCCTGCCCTTATACCTTGTCTCTGAGTCTACATGAAGCAGGTGATGGGTTCTTGTGAAATCCGTTCTAGTTGAAAGAAAATTTTATATTCCCACAGGATGTTGTAAAAGTTGGTGCAGTTGATGTGGATAAACATCAGTCCCTGGGAGGTCAGTATGGTGTTCAGGGATTCCCTACCATCAAGATTTTTGGATCCAACAAAAACACACCAGAAGATTACCAGGGTAAGGGCTTTGACTGCTCCCTTCCCCTGGTGGGAGGGAACCTAGGACTCTGTAGCTTATTAGTCCTGCTACGTTCAGGTCTTTACACCTCTTTGTACCTGAATTTCCTTATCTGTAAGCAGTAGAGAGTGATTCCTACCCCTCTGAGTTGTTCTGACAATTAAATATGTGTCATACAGGTAAAAGTCTTATGCTGACTTTGGCCCACACTGCCCTAGCAGTGATAGAGTGATAGTGTCCTATACTACCCTCCTATCTTTCTCATTACCTTTATTTAAGATTTAATGAAGATCTACAAGTGTTTTTATTTTTGCTCTAATCTCTCTTTTACTGTAGGAGAAGGGTCTAATGTATCAGTGTAACATATCAATGTGAAAAAGAAGACCCTGTGATTGGAAAGTCATTTTAAACTGCTGGTACTACTAGGGAGTATTTTATCCATGACTTCATGCCTTGTAAACATATACAGCATTTGAATATTCTATTGATAATAAATAGGTACCACAAGTTCTTCATTTTGAGACAAGTAAATTGTTAGTATCTGCTGTAAATCATTGAAGCAACTAAACATAGAATTCTGACTCTGGACCTTTAAGGCTAAATGTTATTTCAGTCACACTAGTCTTTTTTTGTTTTTTTGTTTTTAAATAGCCAGGGTCTCGCTTTGTTGCCCAGGCTGGACTCAAACTCCTGGGCTGAAGCAATCTCCCACCTCAGCCTCCTGGGTGGCTGGGACTGCAGGCACCATTGCTATTCTTTGATAGAATAGTCCTGTTATTTAATTTATTTAATAAGATATCACAAACATATTGTCATATTTAAGATAATCAGAATTGCTGGGTTGGGCCAGAATCCATGGTCCTAATAAAAGTATTGGGCATAATATATTCAAACCTTAAGTTATAGCTAATTTGATATTTTTTTTCTGCTAAATTTAGAGGCAGGGTCTCACTTTGTCACCCAAGCTGGAGTGCAGTGGTGTGACAGTCATAGCTCACTGCAACCTAGAACTCCGGGGCTCAATTGATCCTCCTGCCTCAGCCTCCGAAGTAGCTGGGACTATAGGTTTGTGCCACCACACCCAGCTACAATTTTTTTTTTTTTTTATTTTGTAGAGTCAGGGTCTCGCTGTGTTGCCCAGGCTGGTCTCGAATTCCTGGCCTAAGGTGATCCTCCCACTTCAGCCTCTCCAGGTGCTGGGATTATAGGTGGGAGCCACCATGCCACGCCTAACTTTTTTTTTTTTTTTTAATTTTGTTACATGGGACATATAAGTGACTGAAGTTTGTCTGCCATCTTCAGTTTCACTGTGTCAGCAGTACAAGTTTGTGGGGTGGGTAGGAGAATCAGCATCATAGTAAAACAAAGAGTAACTGTTTTATCAGTACTTGGTATCTTATGCGGGATCCAGCTGATAGAAAACGGGATGGGGGAGGGTATAGAATCTGTCAGTTGTGTACTTGGAAGGCAGCACATCTTGGGTTAACGCTGGTTTCTCCACACTCTGGCCTTGTATCTGAACAGTACTTAGTCTCTTCTTTATAAAATGGGGGTGTGAAAACTTATCTGAGGCTATCAGAAGCTTAATTGAAATGGTACATGTAAAGCATATGAGACAAATACTTGGTAAATACCAGTGTCGTTGGCACATCTCCAAGCTAGCAGTCAGAATACCTGAGGATGTGGCCTTGGACACATTGTCTCTGCTAGACTCCCTAGCTCAAAAGTTCTACGGAATGATCTCTCTCATTTTTCTGAGTAAACATCTTTTTTTCTGCTTGTGAATAATAATTTGTTATAGTTTTGCTAACTTGTAAAAAATTGCACATTTGGTGCATTGGGCCTGCTGCTGCTTTGGGACATAACCCCACCTATTTGTGTACTGTCGGTGGCTGCTCTCACCCCAGAACAGCAGAGTTGAGTAGTTGCTCTAGACAGTATGGCCTGTAAAGCTGAAAATAGGTACATCTGGCCCTTTACAGAAAGTTTGCCAACTGCTGGTCTAGAGTGAGAAAACTCCCTTTTTTCCAGTATAGTTCTTGATTTGGCATGTGTCCAAATAAAGCCGGGGAGAGGGGCACTGGTTCAGAAGATGGGGACATCTGACAGAGAAAAGGAGCAGAAGGCTCTTGTACGTGGAGGCGTGCCCTTTCGTGTTGGGAAGTAACATGTTTGGTCTCACCCAGGGGTGCGGTACATGATTATCTGGACTGCCGAGCGTTGCTATGCTGTATCTTCTTTCTATCGTCAGGTCTGAGGTGTTCTCAAGAGTTCTTTCTCTTCCTGGGCAATTTGAATAGAAAACTTTTAAAAAAAGAAAGAAAGAAAGGTAGATGAAACTTTCTAAAGTTTCTGTTAGAGTTTTGCCTTTGAACTCTGAAGGAAGCACACAGCATATATTATCCCTGTGCTTCTGTGGCAGTTAATAGCCCCCGACTCTTTCTTAAGCATGTGGTTTTTGGTAAACTTCCAGACTGTTATCATCTTGCCTCATTGAGTTTTAATACAGGTTTGTTACTTTTTATATTAGGATTAAGTTTAGCTTAACAGTGTTTTAGGTAAAAAAGAAGAAGCCTGAATTGGTTTCCAGTTACTTAGCTTCAAAGACACCTCATATCCTACTTTTGCCAATCTTTTCTGTTCCATATCATAGAATAGTTCCTTCTGTATTTGGAAGTTTCCCCTACTTTCCTAACTAGATATTAAGCTTCTTATTCATCCGTATACGTGTTACATGTTCAGAAAACATTTGGGAATTTTTCTCATTAGTAGGTGGTATTTACAGGTGATGAACAAGGGGTTCTTGTTCATACTAACAACATAAAACTGAAGACAAGAAGTTGGTTTTCCAAGTGTAAAGTCTAGTGCAAAATACATTCTGGAGAGAAAGCGTGCTCTGCCATAAGTACATGTGTTGGCAGATATGTGTCACACCAGGTGAAGCTGGCAGTTACGTAAAGGTGCAAGTCTCAGTATTGTCAGGCAGATGTGCCGAAGGCTGGGCTGAAGACCGCCTGCCACCCGATCACCTGCCCGTCCTGTTTCCTGTAGGTGGCAGAACTGGTGAAGCCATTGTAGATGCTGCACTCAGTGCTCTGCGCCAGCTCGTGAAGGATCGCCTCGGGGGAAGGAGTGGTGGATATAGTTCTGGAAAACAAGTAAGGCAGTGTAATGTCAGTTTTTAATGTGTGTCATAATTTTGAAGCCTGGGTGGTATGGACTCTTTATAGAAAACAGGTTTTTTGTTTTTTAACTGATGAACTTCCAATTTAAAGATAATAAGGAGTCGGCTCAGCTGATCCCAGAGGGAGTCAGCCACCCAGCCTGCTCATTTAGCTTCCCCAGAACCACTGTTGCAATAGCCATTCAGTCCAAGGGCATCTTACCACACCTGCAGTCCAAGTACCGAGCCTCTGGATCGGCTTCCTGGGCCCAGGGCTGATACAGAAGATTGTGGACACAGTGGGGAAGCGCTCCAGGCTGGAGGAGCCGGGCACTGGCATCCCATGGCATTCGTGAGTCCAGAGTGGAGAGGGTTGGACAGGCTCTCCTAGATTGACTTTGGCAAGCACTGATGAAATTTGGGTGACTTGGCCTAAATCTGTGGCAATCAGCCCTAAATCCATGGAAAATTCTACACAAAAGGATAGGGAAGAAGAGGAAGGAAGCTCCTATTCCTTGGACTGGTGTTTTAGATGCCCTGGTATGAAATCTGAAGCTTAATTTTCATGTACCTATGTTCTTGTGAAAAGACATTAAATTAAAGATACATGTAAATATAATGTGGGCCTTTACTCTTTTAGGAGATCAGTAAAGCCAGCTTCTTTATACAGTCTTAGAGCTTATGCAAAGATTTCACGTTCTTGCCTTTTATTTCAAACTTAGACATTTAAAGAGCACAGTTGCCTAGCCCCCTGCCCCTGCCATGACTTTTAGTTTGGCAACAGAAAGCAATGTAACAGTATTGTCTCCTGCGTAGGTTTAGTACTGAAGAAAGTTCTTTGAAAAAGAAAATGGCTAAATGTTTTTAGCTTCCTTGAATGGTGGGGACTTTATCTATGAAAAGGTGGAACTGTAGTTAACTTATGGCATCCTGGGATGAAGCAGCAGCTATGCTTGAGTCTGAATTAAAACAGTGTTTATTAGGGTGGCTCTTTGAGCCATGTTGAGGTTTCTCTTAATAAAATAGCAGGTGATAGAATTCAGGTAGAGGTTATAACTATGTTGACTGTTGGCAATTGTTTGAAAGTAAAGACTATTTACCAAGCAAAAACAGTAATATTAAGGAATGAACCCAATTTGAATAAAACAGTTGACACTATTTGCTAAAGAAAAACTCAAAAACTTCATTAAGATGTAGAAGTGGTCATTGTTTTTGAATTTAAAATTGGAAAAGTTCTTTTTGGCCAAGTTACAGTTTGATGTTTAATGTCATAAATGACAGGGGAGAGGTGATAGTTCAAGTAAGAAGGACGTGATTGAGCTAACGGACGACAACTTTGATAAAAATGTCCTTGACAGTGAAGACGTTTGGATGGTTGAGTTTTACGCTCCTTGGTGTGGACACTGCAAAAAGTAAGTGCTTGGACCAAGCAGTCTGTTCGGTCTCAGTGATTTCAGAACGTTCATCTAGCTCGTTTTGAAAGAGCTGAACTAGATAATAGGTGCTCTCCAAGGTCTGCTTCAGGAAAAACTTTAAATGAATGTTAAGCATTGACATTGATGCCAAGAGTTTGCACTCTTGTATTTTCAAAGATTAACGGGGGCGGGCTGATGTCCAGATTTGGGAAGTGTCGTGAATGCCTGGGAGGCGAATGTGAAGCGTTTAGCATCATCATATCTTCATAAAGCTACAAAATGTTTTCCAGGTGCGATACAACTGGCGATTGGGCAGAAGTGCACAGATCAGTTAGGAAGTATTTGTGCTGTGAGTTAAAATGCACTTTTAATAAATACAAATATTTCTCGATAGCCTAGAGCCAGAATGGGCTGCTGCAGCTTCAGAGGTGAAAGAACAAACAAAAGGAAAAGTGAAACTGGCAGCTGTGGACGCCACGGTCAATCAGGTTCTAGCCTCCCGATACGGGGTGAGTGTGTTCTAAGGCTCATTTCTTTGTGAATTATGTGGTATTTTCAGCTGTTACTTCATCCACTATTCCAGGCCTCCCTATGAGGTAAGAGGGGAGGTGTTTAACCATTATGTAAATGAACAGCTTAAGTCACTTTGTTATCACAACACGTCTGGAACTCAGGACTGTGGATTTTTTCCTGCAGTATTACATTGCTTCCACTGTGTGCTTAATGGGATGTTTCGGTTTGCCCAAGCTTTTTCAAGTTGTTCATATGGCTTTTGAAAGTTGGTCCATTTGTCCAAGAACAGAGACTTTGTATTGATTATATACCCAGGGCTTACGGATGATTTCACTAACCTTGACAGTCAGACTGTTAACCACCCCTGATTGATGGACCTCTGTGAGTCATCCCTTTCACATTGATGCAGGCTGGGGAATAGTTTTATTACATTAAATTACCTATAAGGTGGTTTTAGAAATATAAAGATTGTGTTATTTTATATTAAATGTTAATTAGATTTTGTACTCTGATTTTTTTTTTTTTTTTTTTTTAACAGATTAGGGGCTTTCCTACAATCAAGATATTTCAGAAAGGCGAGTCTCCTGTGGATTATGATGGTGGGCGGACCAGATCCGACATAGTGTCCCGGGCTCTTGATTTGTTTTCTGATAACGCCCCACCTCCTGAGCTGCTTGAGGTAAACTGTTTCATGTGCTGGTAGTGAGGATAGCTTTTTTGGTCTAATAGTGAAGAACATTAAAGCGGTCATGGTACTGTTTCTGTCTGTCCACATTAAGCTCTTTCCTTTTTCTTTTCTTTTTGTTTTGGTTTGTTTTTAGAGACAGGGTCTCGCTCTGTCACCCAGGCTGGAGTGCAGTGATACGATCATAGCTCGTTGGAACAAACTCCTGGGCTCAAGTGATCCTGCTGTCTCAGCCTCCCAAGTAGCTTGGACTACAAGTGTGTGCCTTCACAGCCAGCTATTTTTTTAATTTTTTTGTAGAGACATGGCGTCTTGCTACGTTGCCAGGCTGGTCTTAAACTCCTGGCCTCAAGCAGCCCTCCCACCTCAGCCTCCCAAAGAGCTGGGATTACAGGCATGAGCCACTGCACTTGGCAGCAATCTTCTTTTATGGAGCATTACTGTTGGTGTTTCTATTCAAGGAAGTATTGTTTGAGAGAAGTCTGTCCATCTCTTTAATTACAGTGACGGTGCTGAGTCTGTTTTCAAGCTTACTTTTTGGGTGCTGTACTGTGCAGACTTCCAACCCTCCCTTGTCTTCTGGGTCCCATAGATAATCAACGAGGATGTCGCCAAGAGGACTTGTGAGGAGCATCAGCTCTGTGTCGTGGCCGTGCTGCCCCACATCCTCGATACTGGTAAGATAAACAGAAATAGTTTCCCATTAGTTCTACAGTAGGTGCCCTGAGAACTTTTCTTAAATGAATTGATTAATTATATGGACTCCTTTATTTTTACCTTTAAAACTTTCTTTCTGGTTAAATCAGGAGCTGCAGGCAGAAATTCTTACTTGGAAGTTCTTCTGAAGTTGGCAGACAAATACAAAAAGAAAATGTGGGGGTAAGTTACTAAGCCTGTTGTCTCAGTGTCATTTACACAGGCGGGCACAGGGCTTCTTGAGAGAGGTTCCCTCCGTGTTTGCTGTAGGATGTGTCCTGAGTTCGCTTTCCATGTGTTTTTATTTAAGATATGAAAATAATTATCGTCTAGGAGGAAAAGAAGTAACGTAGCACTCTTACTGTAGGATACGTACTTTCTCCACAGCATGCCTTACTGTCGTGGGAATCTTACTGTAAGTGGTAGTTGGGGATCCAGGCCAGCAAGGAAACAGTGATGGAGCTGACTCCTGGTGTGGCCTTCGAGGGCTGGATAAAGAAAGAGGCAGTGGAAGCACATTTCCTCACTCTTCGGAGGAAGGCCTGCATCTAGGCACGTTTTTAACACACTGACTACCACACTAGAAAGCAAATTTTTTTCTTTGGGGCCACAGTATTATATTATGAAAATAGAATAAAAACTTCAAAAATAAGATCCTTATAATTTAATGAAAAATGTTATTTTTTAAATTGTTTTCTGTGTTTATTTCAATAAAAAAGTAATATAAAAACTTAAAAATTTGTAATGTAAAAAGTTATGTGAAAACTTGAAAAATAGTGCATAAAGTGTTTTTCTTGTCAGAGTTATGTCTAATTTAAAGGTAAACATAAATAGAAAAATGAAATTTATTGACTTCTGTTCATTTAATCCACATTTTTAGAATTAAATTGTCAATATTAATTGTAACAGTAGGCTGGGTACGGTGGCTCACACCTGTAATCCTAGTACTCTGGGAGGCTGAGGTGGGAGGATTGCTTGAGCTCAGGAGTTCGAGACCAGCCTGAGCAAGAGCGAGACCCTGTCACTCTATTTATTAAAAAAAAAAAAATTGTAACAATAACATCAATAAATAAGATTTTCATGAACCAGTTGCAGGGTTTTGCCCAGGGCGCCACCCATCATGTAATATGTATGCTACAGCAGGGCAGTGTGAGTTACATATGCTCCACAAGGCCTGTGCTCAAAACTAGTGTGAGTTAAATACAATTCACGTGACAGTTAATGTGTTAAAATAAAGTATGTCTTATATATGTCCTTCCCATTGATATTTCTGCTTCCCATCCTGGGAATCCATTGCTTTCCCTGTGCCCACTGCCCCCACCAGCTTTCGTGACCTTGCTCCTCCCCCATCAGTCCCACAGTGTTTGTTACGCCTGCAGAACGCAAGAGTGTGGGTAGTGACCCAGACAAGCTGGTGGCATTTCAGGTAACAAGACAGGAAAAATTCATGTAGTTTAGTGGATGGTATTTTGGGGACTGAGGACAAAGCTGTCTTAAAGACAGACTAGCCCATTCAGAGACTTCTGGAGTGAGTTGTGGGCAACACAAGTGAGGAACTGTGGTTACTTGGGAGCACATCTAGATTACATTATTATAAAAACTAATCTTTTGTTTTTGATTTCTTACTAATTTCATTCCATAAAATATTTGAAGTGTAATCTTTTGTTCTTTAATTAAGATCTACTAGTTAGATTCTAAGTAATTTAAAAGACATCTTTGTCCTTAAAAATCAGTCTGCTTTTCTAGGTGGCTGTGGACAGAAGCTGGAGCCCAGAGTGAACTTGAGAACGCGCTGGGCATTGGAGGGTTTGGGTACCCCGCCATGGCCGCCATCAATGCGCGCAAGATGAAGTTTGCTCTGCTGAAAGGGTCTTTCAGTGAACAAGGCATTAACGAGTTTCTCAGGTAATGTCTTATTTTCTTGAGTGTTTATTTTTTCTGTCTGTTTCTGTTACGGTTTTTGGTTTAACACTAGGTGTATAATTCCAAAATAAATGGAATTATTTTGCATTTGAATTTTCAGAAAATTGGATGTTTATAAATTAGAGTTGTTAAATCATCTTCCTGTATGCTGTTCTCTTTTCCCTGGAAATAATCTACATGGTGGATGAGGAGAAAGCTTTGCTGCCCTCAGGCCACCCTGCATGCCATCTGTGCACCTGGCACTGGGCTCTTTCTGATTCCCTAAAGGTCTCACAGGGGCTAGAGGCAGCTCTGTCTCACCCATTCCCGCCCTTTGTACTCCTGACCTCAGGTGATCTGGTTTCCATCTGGGCACTTGGCTTTGGAATGCAGTTGCTTGAAAATGGGTGTACTTAAGTTACTCCAACAGTGTGCAAACATCATGATAGGTTCTCAAACTTAAAAAACAATTTCTAGAGCTCTCTATCCTGCTCTGCCATTCAGCTCATTCTAAAACTGACTTAATCATCTTTTAGGCAAGTACAAGAGATTGTGTTCCCAACTCTTGCTTTCTTCCTTGTTCATTTCTCAGCTGCTGTGTGAAAGATATTCAGCTCACAGAAGGTAGTTCAGAGGGTTATGATGAGTAATGAGTAGTAAGAATAACGTTTGAAAGTCTGCACTGCTTTTGCTGCCAGCCCTCCTACTTAACACACAAGTATTAATATGCGCTTGTGCTGTGTGGAGAGCAGAGGCTCTGCAGTCAGGTGCCCAGGGTCACAGCTTAGCTCTGCTTTGAGTGGTGACCTGGAGTGAGTAGGAGGCATGGAGAAGCCCCTGCGAGGTCACCTTTAGCCTCTGCCTGGGGTCAGGCCCTGGCTCTTCCTCTTCCAGCTGTCTAACTTTGGGCAAGTGACATAGCTTTCCCACACCTCTGTTTCTTTGTTTTTTAAATGAGATGCTATTATAATAGTACCTCCAGTTTGGGCTGTTGGAGAATTGAAAGAGAGAAATCAGTAGGGACAGCTCAGTGTAGTGCCTCGGACAGAGTAAACATCTGCATGGTAGCTGTTGTTTTTACTACTCTTGATCTTAGCCAAAAGGCTGAGAAGTGATACTAGCTGTTGTTTTTCAGACCGTGTACATTGTGAGGTATATTGTGACTTGGGGAAGGGTATTACATTAAAAGATTTGTTACAAATCATCTCAATTTAGAAATTGTTTAAACAGGTGCAGTGGCTTATGCCTGTAATCCCAGCACTTTGGGAGGGTGAGGCAGGAGGATCACTTGGGAGCCCAAGAATTTGAGACTGCAGTGAGCTATGATCATGCCATTGCACTCCAGCCAGGGTGACAGCGAGACCCCCGTATCTATAAAAATAATAAAAATTTTAAAAATTTAAAGAAAAAAATTGTTTAAACAAAGAAGGGGAGATAAATGTAAGAATCAATAAAATGTGACATCAGAGTATGTGTTTTAGAGTACCTTTTTAGTTTGTATTTTCCCCAAGCATCATAATAAATGGAATCCAAGGTAATCGGTTTTTTTCTTTTTAATGTTTTTCTTTATTATGGAAAATTTTAAATATGTACAAAAGTAGACTAGGCTAAAGGACTTTTTTGTATTTGTTATTTTCAACTTCAGTTACCAACTAATGGTCAACCTTATTTTGTCTACGCACTTCCTCCCCAGTATTTTAAAGCAAGTCCCATTCCATCTCATCTGCACGTTTTAACATGTATCTCGAAAAGACAACTTTCGAAAACAACACAATACCATTATTGCACCTAAAAAATTAGATGATTCAAATTTGTATGGTTTGCGTGATTCGGGTCCCAGTGTGAGTATACGCTGTGGTTGGTCAATATGGTTAAGGAGGTGTTTTCATAAAGAAGTCTGGGACTTGCTTAAGTTTGTGATTGTCATGGAGTTCCATTTATTTAATCACAAAGTTAGAAATTGAATACAGTATTATGTAACATTTTTTTCTAACGGATGTGCTTATTCTGGCCCATTGCCGCCACTACATTTGTAGATTGTTCAGCTTCATTGTTACTAACTTAAATTTCTCTGGGTTGTTTGCTGAACTTACACATATATGCACTGGTAGTATTTTTAGCTTTGGTTTTCCAGTAGCCAGATTACAACAGGTCTGTTGTGTTTTTCACATACAGACATTCACACTTCTCACTGCTAAGCAGATGTGTTGTATGCCAGCCCCCAGCCCGGGGTGTGTTGGAACCAGTCACCTCACTAGTGATGTGCTCTGTACAAGTTCATAGTCTTAGAAAACAGGAGTCATAGGCAGCCTGAGTTCTAGATCAATTTTGATAATTTTTTTTCCGAAGACACCAGTGACTTTGATCATTTTTATGTACTTAATTTGTATTTCAGCAAAAAGCTTTGCTATTTTTAAAAACTTGTTGGCAGCAACTGACTTTATCTGATGCAGAGGACTTAGTCAGGAATGTCACGCCTGGTTGTATTGTTGTCCATGATTGAAAACATAATGTTCTCGAGCTATTTTTCAGGAATATACTGCAGCAAGGGGCGAGAAACGCCTGTACCTAAACCTAGTAAGCAGATTGTGGTTGAAGTGGTTTAGTCATCTGCATCAGCAGTCCATGCGAACGTGTGTTTATTTTGGTCATTTTCCCCTAAGGGAGCTCTCTTTTGGGCGTGGCTCTACGGCTCCGGTGGGAGGCGGGGCTTTCCCCAGCATCAGCGAGAGAGAGCCTTGGGACGGCAAGGATGGTGAGGTGAGTGCCCAGACAGTTCTGTTGTGCCTTCCCAGTCTCTGTAATCTCTGTGCCTGGAAGTCAAGTCTTTGCCGTCAGGCCTAAGCCTTGGCATTCATGAAGTATCCTGACCCGTGGGCCTTTTAAGCGGTTCTTTACTTTCATCTTCCCTATTACACGAAAAAGTGCTTTATGGCATATTTGATATTCTTGACAGACATCCAAGATAAATTGCAATAGCGAGGTTGCTTTCCTGATTATTACCCCTAAAGTGAACATTTAACCTGGAATTCATTTACTTTGTCTTTGAGAAATGTAAAGTTATAGCTTTGAAGTTAGCATTTATTTGTGAACAGTTCTGCCCCACCCTCCTCAAATGAACAAGTTAAATGACTTTCAGTTTTAAAGAGGTAAACGATGTTTGTTATGTTAAAATCATGTTTCATCGGAGTTCTCAGCTTTTCCATCTGTGTAAAAGGGGCAGACGTAAAAGTAGGAAGCAGACTGAGGAGAAACTGGTTTGGAATCTAGAATACCTCTAGAAATTAACTTGCTCTTCTGTAAAATGAGACGTTAACTTTTCAGGGTGTCCCCTGGTCTGTGGTTCTGACAGTGGTTTTCTGTCTCCCAGCTTCCCGTGGAAGACGACATTGACCTCAGTGATGTGGAGCTTGATGACTTAGAGAAGGATGAGTTGTGAGAATGACAGCAGAGGCTTCAAACTGTTTTCTTTTCTTGGGAGCCAGCGGATTTTTCCAGCAGTGAAGGAGCATTCTTTACAATCAGATGAACCTACCAGTGGCCTTTTAAACCAAGAAGTAGCACTTGAATGGTCATTTGAAAACACTGCAACAGTGAACTTTTGCATCTCAAGAAAACATTGAAAAAATTCTATGAATTGTTGTAGCCAGTGAATTGTATTGTATTGTCACATAATATTTTGAAGAAAACTCAGCTGTTGAAAATTTTTTCCTTCCTCTGACTGCTGCTTGAATGAATGTTCTTGGAGGCTGTTTCTTATGTATAGGTTTTTTAATGTGATTCCTTCATTTGAATATTAATGGCTTTTTCCATTAAAGAATTAAACAATATTTTGGACAATGCTGATAAATGTATGAAATTAGTGTCCACATCATAAACTCAGAGTCTGATGTTTAGGCAGTAAATTAATATGATAAGTGACGATACTAATGTCTTTCCTCCCTATTTAAAACGGAAAATACCTCTTTGATTCAAGTGATGCCACCTGGGTGCCCACCCCACTATAGACTTCACATGAAAAACTGGGTTGTCGAGTGAGAACGGCATCGTATGCCCAGTATTTTGACTTGGACCATCACTAGTGGCTAGTTATTAGGGAATAGCTGGTTATATAGTTGAAGGTTTTTTATTTTATAGTACTAATCTCTTAGAATACTGATTAAGACATGAAATATAGCAGCAGGTTGCCAATTTATAGGCAGTTCCCATTTATGTAAAACATTCAGAAAAATGAAATTTTTGAATTATGTTAGAACATAAGAAAAGACAATTCAAAGGACTCGAAAGCATTTAATTGTAACTTAAAAAAAATAAATAACAACTGTAACTAACTTTCGTGAGCAATTTCTCTGAGAAGTCTAAATTCTGTAGGACATTAAAAACTATTCTCTGGCTAAGGGAGAGAGGCATCTGCATTAGTTCATCTGCGTGAACATGAAGGTGGTGCCAGCTGACCCCTCTAGTCAAGAAGACTAAGGTCAATGTGGAAGTAGACGTAAGGAAAGTAGTCCTGATTATTGAGTTGCAACCCAGGGATCTCCACAGATGCCTACAAAAGAAGACATGGTATTAATGTTCCAAGTGCATAAACTAGTTTCCAGTTTTATTTTTAATTTGTATGTTTGAGGAAGCTCTCCAGGCAATGACCATACATTGTGCCCTGCATAGCTGTGGCCTATCCCCGACACGACCCTTACACACACACTCCCAACCCCCCTCCCTGCTGTGCTTTAACGTTTGTGACATGGAGATTTTTCGTAAGCCTGGCAAATAACATTTTTTTGAAAGTATCTCATATGGGGACGCTGACCTTACTGTAGAAATGCCACTGTTCCTGGGTCATATACCTACATCCAAAATACTTGCAGCAGCTACTTCATCCAGATGTCTGAAGACAGAGTTTAGAACCTCTCTTAAACGTTTGGTGGATGACTTCTTATGCGGTTGCAGGAGCACTGCCTGGAAGTTCACTGGTAGTCCATACCTTTTCAGACAGAAGAAAGTGTGTCAGTAGCTCCTCCACACGCAAACATGGACACAATCAACCTGACGGGGAATAAAGAGCAAATTCTGGAAATGAAAAGCTCCAACCAACACGGCTCAAAAATAAACTCAGGCAAAATGTCTAGGGTCAGAGGTGATCTCCCTGGATAGAAAAAGCTCTAGAATGTGCTAATCCTCTTCTGATACGATAGTTTTTGGCAATGGAGCGAAGAGGTCACTCCCGGCTGTGAGTGCTCTAGCGGAATGGTGGCAATTGGACTGAACGTTCTCTGAAGCATTTGTCTAAAACCCAGCACAGCTGTTTTGGTTTTCTCCACTAAAGGAGAGACGCAAAAATCTGATTTATCAAGATTGTTGTTAGTTCCTTTTGCTGAGTTTTTGGATGGACAGAAAGGATTGTAAATGTACCTGGTTGTATGCCCGAGTACATTTAAAACCACTCGGGACGAGCTATTCCTGTAGTGTTACCCCAAGACAAGTACTTGTATCGAGTATGATAAGCAGTAACATGCATTTTGTGACTGGGGAAGTATTGAAGGTATGCTATCAGTGAGGAAATGCTTCGACGTTCAGTCCTTAGCACCTGCGCTCCCAGCCATGGTGGGAAAGCGGTCCTTAAGATGCCCTTCCCTCACCTAGGACTCTGGTTTTTCCAGACTGCGGCCTGCCATGCGTGTTGAGTCACAGGGGCAGGATATGTTAGTATTACTAAGGTTTTATTTTCCTATGTCCACAAATTATCCTCTGGCTCCCAAACCTTCCCAGTCCTCATTTGATGCAAAGCATTCCCAGCGATACTCAGAAAGGTGAAAGAAGCCTAAACATGGGAAGGGGCCGTTTGCAGCCACCTCTGCTTCTGTTTTCACTGACCAAGCCCAAGGCCAACCTAACCGTGTTGCCTTCGCCTCTGGGAGGCAGTGCCACGGGAAGCTGGCAGGTGTTCACAGGCAGGACAGTGGCACCGGCATAGGTCCCAGGTGAGACGAATGGCCCAGCTGACCACCTCATCTCTTTTGTTCCCATCTCTGGTCATCAAAGCTCTGCTGTCACCCAGGGGAAATGAGCAGAGAGGCTGGGGTGCTTACCGGGGAGCCCCGTGCTGTGAACCGGCGTGTCTCACAATGCTCGCGGCCTTCCCAGATGGCAGGGAACCGCCACTCCCGTACCCCAGGCCACATGCACGCTAAGGGACTAGCATTCTCGTTCCCCATGCGACTGCTAGACATTGCCTGGCCACCCAGACACAAACACTCCCCTTTGCCACCCTGCTTTGTCATCATGCAACCTAGTGATTCCACACTGTCATTGCCAAGTTGCCCTGGAGGTTGTTTATCCATCTACTCCGAACAAGGACCCATCTTTAAAGCGCCCCTCCCTCCCCAGCCTGAGCTCCAGGGCAGAGGCCTGTGTCTGTCCTGTGGGCACTAAGAGGCCCGTGGTGAGTACTCGCTGAAAGCTGACTGAAGGCACACGGCTCTCCCGCCTTTGACCCTCCCTCGGCCTCTGGGCTCTTCGAAGACCCTCCCGGTCCCTAACGCACCCTGCGGATCAACTCCGATGAGCGCCCCCTCCATTCGGCCCAGAACATGACCCGGGAGCAGTGGCCAGTTCTCCCCGCTCACTCCTCACGCCCACCCCAGGCTGCTCCCTCCTGATCACGAGGTCACCTGGCAGGGAGCTGCCCACCCTCACTCTTCCGAAGCAGGACTCAGCCTGTCTCCATTACTGGCCCTTCCCTTTACCAGCACCTTCCCTGTTTAACATAAACGCCAGCTCCCTAGAGCTCTCACACGACCCCGTCCTCCCTGAGAGCCGACTCTGAGTGTCCGATGTCCTGTGTCACTCCTTCAACCCCTGCCCTCTGGCCTCTCTCACCAATGACCTCCCAGTGGCCAAATGCAAGGGACACCTGAACCGTGACATCCCAATCCATGACTGCTCCCTCCTCCTCCTCTGCCTGCCTCCACGCACTCCTTAAATGCCGGGTGTGCCTGTGGCACTTCTCTCTGTGACTCCCCCGGGCAATCCGCCCGGACACCTGCCACTGATGATTCCCTAGTGTCTGCTCCCTGCACGACCCCTCCCAGCTCCCAGGCCTGATGATCCAGCCACCGCCCGCCCACTGTCCGCTTGGGTCACTTAGGCCCCTGGGACACTTCATCTGTGACGAGCACCTCCTCGCCTGAGGACCGTGCCCACTTTACCTCGATTTTATTCAGCCAACAGACATTTCGCGTCTACTCTGACTCTGGGTGACAGGTGGAAAGAGGAGTCGGACTCAGCGCCCAGTGCAGGGGGAAGATGCATAGCTGTGAGACGAGGCAGGCGGCACAAGTGCCAAGGGGGGCGAGAGCAGGAGGGCAGGGGAGCAGGTGGGTTCGTGGCAACGACCTGGTGAGTTCAACGTCGGTTTTCTTAGGTTATAGCTTCACGTGATGGAATATGAAAAAGCCATCTAGAAGGCTCAAGTAGCTCTGCACATACTGGCAATGAAGTAAGCAAGGTGCAGGACAGGAAGTATAGATGACCCCCAAAGGGGGTTATCTATAACAACAAGGGTCTCGAAGCCACTGACCACGATTATCTCTGGGTCGTGGGATGGTGAGGACCTTCCGCTTTCCACAGCAGAGATTCCCGAACTTGAGTTGTTTTTGGTTTTTTTTAGAGTGTTCAGGTATTGCAACTATATTCAGGAAAAACAGAGCAAAAGATGTCACACCCTGATAGTTTTTGAGAATTCTTTTTGCATATACTCTTAGGGGAAACACTCAGTTGTATCGAACTTAAGATATCAGGGATGTCTGCCTCAGCCTCTCTTGAGCAAATGGGCATCCTGTGAGGTGTGGACGGGCTTCACCGTATCGGCCTGAGAACAGTCGATTTCCGAGACAAGTAGGGTTGATCTGGGGCCTGTCTACACTACAGATGGCTGGGACACTCCAGATTAGCTTGGGTATACCCTCCAACCTGATGCCGCCATCCGTGCCGTGACCGGCCCCTGAGATGGGCACGCATGGGTGTGTGTGTGTGTGTGTGTGTGTGTGTACGTGTGTGTAGGTGTGTGTGGTGTAGGTGTGGGTGTGGTGTAGGTGTGGGTGTGGTGTAGGCGTGGGTGTGGTGTAGGCGTGGGCGGAAGAACCGGGAGCCAGGGGCACATGTGTACTTGGGCAAAACCCACAGCGCAGCCATGTGGAGGATGAATTGGAGGCCCGAGAACCACGAAAGGGGTTTATGTCAACAGCCAGGCAAGCTGGGTGGGAGAACAGAAAAGAGACACAAAGGCAGCGTGGACCAGGCATGACCAGGGGTGCAGTGGGGAGGTGGGGTCCAAGCTGACCCTGAGGCTGGGGGTCTGGTGCCGGGAAGGACGGTGAGGTCACTGGCAGAAATAGGGAAGGCAGAGGCAGGGCTGGGGGAGATGAGCCGGGTATGCAGGTGAAGCCTCTGGCAGGCAAACGACAGGACCTGGACGCCAGGAGACACAGCAGGAGACAAGGCAAAGTCGGGAGCAGTCGGCAGGTGGGCGGCTGGGAGGGACCCTGAGGGAGCCATCAGCACAGGCAGGGAGGGGGTCGGGGAGAGCAACAGGGGGTCTGAGGGCTGGAGGAACACAGGAGCCTGCAAGTCAGAGCTGCCACAGCGTGCCACGGAGCGAGATTGGGAACACTTAATGACCCAGGACATACTCAAAATACAGCAGAAAAGTGGGCTTCAAAAACTGTTTCCTGTTTGATTCCCTCTTCATAAAAAACTAGTAAAATTCATTTGTATCTGTATATTAAAAAAAAAAAAAAAACCTTAGCTGGGGTGGTGGCACACGCCTGTGGTCCCAGCTGCTCAGGAGGCTGAGGCAGGAGGATCGCTGGAGCCCAGGAGTTGAGGCTGCAGTGAGACAGGATGACCCCACTGCACTCTCACCTAAGCGACAGTGAGACCGTGTCTCAATAACAAACAAAAAAACCCCTAAAACCTAAAGGGGTGCCTGCCAGGATGTCAGCAGTGTTCTCTGCTAATGTTAGAATTCTGGGTGATTTTTATTCATTCTTTGTGCAAACCTGTAATAAATTTGTGCTTCCAAATTTTCCACAGTGAACCTACTTTTTTTTTAATAAGGCACGATGAGTTTTGTTGTTGGTTTGGTTTTGGTTTTCTTGGAGGCAGAGGACTGAGACAGTCCGGGGCTGCCTTCCAGGAGCCCCTGGGCCCTGCAGGCTACGCAGGGGCGAGGACGGGACCAGCGGAGGGTCCACGTGGGATGCAGGGAGGCAGGAAAAGGAGGGAGAGGACGGCAGGGCGCAGGGCTGAGCCGAGGGTCTATCCGACTCACGGGGTCCCGCAGGTCACCAAGAGCCACAGACACAGAAAAGAGAGGGCAGGGGTGGGAGGAAAGGCAGGGACTGGCGTGGCCCCAGACGGCTCCTCTAGGTCCTCCCCACCCCCAGGACAGCCCCGCCGGGGCACCTCCACGCACCTGAGCACGGACTCCACAAACACTCTCAGGGCCTTTATGTGGATCCAGGCAATGAAGGCTTCGCTGAAGTTCACCTTGAGCCAGCGCAGCAGGGGGCCCTGCAAAGACCAAGGAGCCAGGTGACCCCTCCTGGCCGCGCCACCAGATGCCAAGCCAAGAAAAGCCTTCAGATTTTGACAGAGCAAAACCTGAGCTAAGAAGTGCCCAGGAGGCAGCAGAAGCAGAGAGTAGGCTGGACAAGCCCCGGGGCTGGCCCAGGACTGCAGTGTCCAGGGCACCTGGCGCTGAGGAACTTGGGGGACAGCCACCCGGCACATGCGTGGGGTCACCACAGACCGGGGTGCGGGGAGCTGGGCAGCCCCTGACCTCAGGGCTTTCAGCAGGCAGCTAATGGGCATCCGCCTGACACTGCGCAGCCAGGGAGCCCACCCTCTCGAAGGCTCTGCCCCTGGTCCTGGCGTCACCTACTGGCTGCCGCCTCAAGGGGCCTCCTCACGTGGCCACGGCAGCTGCCACTAATGCTGGTGTGGCCGGTCCTCTGGGGTAGCTCAGAGTCTTGGAGCAAGAGCTCCGAGCTCCCACCTGGTACCTCCAACTGCCCATGAAGGTCAGGGTGGGTCCAGCCAGGGCAGCCGAGGGGAGAGAGCCCAGCTGCCACCACCATCCCCCGGCCTGCCCGTCACCAGCTCCAGCCACCTCTGGCCAGGGCAGACCGCCCGGCCGCAAGCACCCCTCGATGCGGGCGGGGAGCTCCAAAGAGGCCCTGCAGAGTCGGAGGAAGGCATGATTCTGGGCTCCTCAAATTTAAGCCCTCGAAAGCCAAGTCAGATGACAGAGAATGCAAGATTTGTTTTCTCAGAAGGCGCCTGAGCTGGCGAGGAGATGCGAGCTGGGGACCCCCAGGATTCGGGGGGATGCTTACCTCGCCCTCGCCCTCACTCTCTCTCTCTCTGTCGGTCTGCCCCGTGGCGGGCCTATCGGGGTGACCTAGCGGGGTTACCTTAACCTTGTGGTCCAAGAAGGTGGATGATCCCTTTTTAAGAGCAACACAGGAAGTTTGCTAAAGGCACAGAAATGATTTATTAATCTTTCAGCAAACATGCATCACAAACAAATCATCCTCATCGCCTGCAAAGCGCGTGAAAGCAAGCTCAGGAACTCAGGCCCGCCCTCAGGGCCCGCAGCTGGCCGGACTAGAGATGCGGCCGGCGCAGGGGGTGTTAAAGTCCCGGGATTCCATGCTGCAAGGACAGAACCAATCGCTGGCAGAGGGGTCAGTCCTGCATCCGCGCCCCCGCCTGGCCCCGGTCAGGACCCGCATCACGGGCAGACAAGGACAGCACCAGGAGGTGCTGGTGGAAACAGCGCTCCTGCGGCGCTCGTCTGTGCTCGCTACGTCACAGGGTCTCTGCCACACCCCGCCACGAGGCCTCCTTGGCCCTCATGGAGCACTTAGGCACGCCAAGGGCAGAAAATTCGCCAGGTGTGTTGAGGGACACTGTACCCTGTCATTCTGTCTCTGCGCATGGGCGGAAAACACAGCAAAGTTCCACTCTGCTCTCGCAGTACACTGACACCCCGGGGCCTCGCCTGTCCCTTCTGGGTGACAAGCAACAAAAAGGATGCAAGATGCCCGGTCATATCCACTTCCACACAGGCCAAAGGGGGACAGAGGTGCTCAGGAAGCCAGAGCGGAGCTGACCTCAGCTCAGTGAGTCTCTTTGGGCCTCTGCTCCCCACCCACAGGGAGACCACGGCAGGGCTCCCCAGGGCAGCGTAGGTGCGCAGAGGTCTACACCAGGTAAAAAACGCCAGCTGGCAACCTGAGCCCCAAGTGGCAGGTGTCAGGCTCATGTGTGTCACCCTGATCCGCAGGGGTCTGGCAGGCCTGTGCCAGTGCCCAGGTGGGTGCCAAAGGCCCTACTTCACCACCTGTCCCCCAGCAGGGCCTCCCAGCTGGACACTTGTGAAAGCTGCCATGATCTGGCCTCCATCCAGGGACACTGGGTAGGGAGGGCTCTGGGGTCAGGACTGGAGCAAGCAGGGAAGGGCCTGGCCAAGGAGAACAGCTGGGGCGCCCCTGGGTGATGAGGGTTTCCGGTGAGCTGAGGTTAAGGAAGAAGCCGTTTTGGATTTCATAGCTCTTGCTGGTGAAAATCATTCCCGCCTGGGAGTGCTGGGTCTGTGGCCACCACCCTGAGGACCAGAGCACCTGATGGGCCTGGGGTCCATGGCCCCGGCTCTGCCCTTCGTCCTCAGGAGGGGGCTCGGCCAGAGTCCGGCAGCTGCTGGGTCGGAGGAGCGTGTGCTCACTGGGTGTGCGCACACGTCCACACACAAACGCGTGCCAGCATCCCTGTGTGCGTGTTTCAGGGGCAGAGGGTTAGAAATCCCCAACGTGAACTTCTGTGTTATTATCGGTTGTTGTTCCCTGCCTGTGAGAGCCGCGGCTGGGCTCCCTCCTGACGGAGGCGTGGCTGCTCTCTGCAGTCCCCAGAGAGCTCCGTCCCCCAGGCCATTTGCCTGATGGCAGCACTTCTAGCCTGGCCCGCAGCCACTGCTCTTGTCCCCAGGCATGCACTCACAGCTCATGTTTGCACACCGACTTCCCTCCAAAAGGCCTCAAGTACATTCTACTCATTCTTCGCTTCCTGTCTGTCACTAGAGGCTGGGCCGGAAGGTGTTCCTAGAACCACCCCCTGCCCACCGGAGTGGGCATGGGAGAAGCGCCCAAACACATCCCACCCGGGCAGGCTCCTCTGGAGTCGCCCAGCTCAGCCCACCACAGCCGCCAGAGGTCTCCGAGTCTGGGATGTGCCCATTTCACAGAGCGGTGGAGTGACTTTCCCGAGGCCACACTGTGCATGTTTCAAAACCGAGCGTCTAGTTTTCCTCCCTTGTGAGCTAAGTCGCCCTCTCACAATGCACAGTTTCTGAGTGGCTCAGCCGGAAGTCTCAGCATAAGCACCCGCTCTTTGCTAAGAACACGGGAGGTAAATACAGGTGCCGGGGACGCTGTGGAAACCACATGGCCAAGGACAGTGGGGTGACCGTAGGCCACACTCCTCAAGGCCGACACTGGGCACAGAGCGCAGCTCGGCCCCGGGAGGGTTGGGCAGGGTCCTCCAGCTGGGGAAGTGCCCGTGAGTCGACCTCTCAGCAACCTCAGCTTCTCTGCACGGGGGAGCGGCGACCCCCTCCCGGAAGGGCAGTGCCAGGGAGTGGCCGGGTCTGATGCAGAAGCTTGGCCGGGCTCCCGGCTCCCCCACGCCATCATACCCCATCCCCAGACCCTGCTCTGGCCGTCCCATGAGAACAGAAGTTCCCGAAGGTGTGAGCCCAGGGGACCAGGTTCAGCGAGACGGAGAGGTGGGGACGTGGGAGGGCTCTTTTGCCCCAGGCCACAGGGTGGGGACAGGAGGGAACTACTCGACGCCCCAAGGAAGCCCTCCCGGCTGCACCCCACACTCACATACTGTTGCTTCTTATCAGACAGCAGCCTGGTCAGCTCTTCCCTTTCCCTCTTGATTTCTTTTTCATCATAGTAAAATTCACGGACAGTGAACCTTAAAACAAGCAAAGATGGGCTTTCACCAAGACGCTTCCTGGGCAAGAGACCTCCCAGGGGAACAAACTAAACCCAGAGAGGGCCACGGAGCCCACGCTCTTACTTGTTTTCCTTGGCTTTGGTTTTGAAATCGTCAATCACTTTTCGAAACAGAGTCACTGTGAAGAGGCCGCCCTCACTGTCCTCGGTAATCAACCTGTCGGAGAGAAGCATCTGTTCACCGGACTGATTGCCAGGGTCGCCACGCGCCAGACCCTGTGCCAGAGCCGGGCTGGGAGGCTGCCGGCCACTGCAGGGCTGGACCTGTGGGTCCCCCGGGGCCTCGCGGCCCCCGCTCGGGGCGCTGGCAGCAGCCGAGGGCTGGGGAGCCACGGGCACCCCTGGGATCCCCGAACTCCCGGCCACCTGCTGTTTCCCAGTCCTCCTGCCCCTTCCACACGCCCCCTCCAGGCCAAGGCCTCAGGGGCCTTCAGGGGCTCTAAAGGCTTGAGAGGGACAGGAAGCGCAGAGGTCTGCGGTTCGGATCCTGCTCCTCCTGGGCCCCATCACAGTGAAGCTGGGTGACTCTCCCAGTGGTGGAAACCGTCACGCAGGTCCGGTTCACTTCCAGTGTCACCACGTCCCAACTGGACGCGGCCTCCCCTGTGTGTCTCAGCGTGGGATTACTGGGGCCACTGTCCCCAGCAACAAGGGAGTTCTCAGGGCCAGTCGTCTCAACATCTCTGAGTCCTGCTGGCCAGGAGACTCTGCAAGTGGCCCAGGCGTGGTTTCACGGGCGTGCTGGCCACGTCGCCCCCTGGTTCTCAGAGCTGCCCCCACGCTCCACGCCCATAGGGGCGGCCCCCAGTCTCTAGACCTTTCCAGGGTCATCTGTGCAGGCTCTGGGTGCCCTGTGACAATGAGGGGCCTGAGGGCTCTGGTCTGAGAGGCCAAGCCACCTACAGAGGCAGCCTGTGCTGGCGTGGACCCCAGGTGCTCTGGACGCCCTGTTCCTCCTCTGGCCTCCCCTGTGACCTCAGGCCGTGACTGTCCTGTTCCTGGATCCCTCACTTTAGCTCCTGATTGCAATCCCCCGTGAGCTAGCAGCCCTGGGAGAGCCCGGCTTCGAGCAGAGCCCGGGAGAGCCGGCAGTGGGCAGGGCTTCGCTCGCGGGCAGTGGCGGGGTGGTGTGTGGAGAGACAGGTGAATGGGCCGCCCGAGGCTCATGCTAAAATCTCCTAAAAGTGCAAACCACTTCGGACATACAAAGAGGTGTGCAGGATAGCACACACCCGCGTACCAGCCACTGGCTAAGATATCAAACGATTTCCACACAGTGGCAAGCCTGCATGGCCCTCTGCAGCAGCCTGCACCTCTCTGCCCCAGGTCACCACCAGCCTGAGTACGGCCCTTCTTGTCCCCTCCTGTCCCCACAGTTCACTGTGCACTTGCATATGCCCAAGTCACAGGTACTTTAGTTCCATCCGTGTCTGGACTCCACGCTACACAACCCTTCCACGCTGGCTGCCGTCGTTCGACTCTGCGCACACAGGCAGCCCTGGATCGTGGGTTTCCCGGCTGCGTGGTGTCCCACGATGGACACAGTTTTTTACCCATTCCCCCCTGTCATTTTCACAGTGCCCCCTGGCCACTCCTACTCTAACGCCAGCAGGCCACACGCTGGGACTGCCTTCCTCCCCTGCTCCTGCTCTGTGGCCGGTCACTGGGCAGCCACTCCGGCCAGGCCCTTGCCCCTCAGATGGGAAGAGCTGACGCTGAGCGGAGAAGGCACAGCAAGGACGCAGCGAAGGCCACGGCGCGCTGAGAGGGCCCCTGTGCTGGACGCAGCCAGGGCAGCCTTCCCAGAGCAGGAGCAGGGCAGGGAGCTCTGAAAGAGGAAGGCAGTTGGCACGTGACAGGGTGTTGTGACCACAAAGGAATTCTAGGCCAAAGGACAAGAGAGGACTGAGGGGCCTCACACCCTATGGGCATGTTTGGTGCTTGAGTGCCCGAAAGCACCCACACATGCCCCCCAGGGGACCTGGGGCCAGGCCAGGGTCTCACTTACTTGGTCGACCGAGGGACTACCATGTCCGAGAGAGATTCGTAGGTTTTTTGCCATTGTGTGTAGTTTGGTCTGCAAGAACACAGAATCACTTGGTGATTTTTGCAGAAAAGTCTCTTAGGGGTACTGAGTGCTTGGGCAGCTGCACCCCCTTTTCTTGTCTGCTTCCTGGGAATCAGGGCTGGTGGGGCAGCCTCTTCTCGCCACCCTAGTCACCCTCAGGCCCTCCCCGCTCCATGCCGGGCTCGGCCAGTCTCCGTCAGGGATCACCCACGGGCCAAGACACCAAACCCCTCCTTCCTGCCTGCTCACTTGGGGACGATAACCAGAAGGGTGACAAGATATTCAGAATCCAGCACGAAGTCTTCTTTGCTCACAATGTCACTCAGTGTCCGGGTGAAGAGGTTCCCCCTGAAAGGCAGGTGGAACAGAGTGTGATCAGCAGAAAGGGACATGCTGACCCCACACCCCCCGCGCAGGCAGTGGGACTGGGGGCGGCCAGGAAGTGGGGCAGGCTCAGGCTCTGAGGACACTGGAGCCCGGGAGAATGTTGTGACTCTCATAAGGGACCTTCTCCCTGGCCCCAGGGCTGAGGGCCCCCCAGGCTCTGTGCTGGGCGGCCGGAGCTGCTGCCTCCTCCCCTCCAGGGACAGGGAGGCTGGCAGGGCCTCAAGTGCTGTCACCAGTCACCCTAGGGGCTGCTGAATCCAACACCTCAGTGACCTGCTCTGCCCTGTGCAAGCACCGGCTGTTGGGAGGGGACCTTGGGTGGCAGGCAGCTAACGTTACTCAAGTGTCAACACAGCAGCCAGCTCTCTAAGCTGTGTGGCCAACCTCGATAGCCCTCTGCATCACTTTACAGGCCTTTCAGCCCAGCAGCCAGGGGACACTTGCCTGAAATAGCTTTCCACACGTCCAGTGGCCCTGGTCTGAATGAAGGTTAGGGTATTACTAGCACATGGATCAAGGCGGCCGTACCAGCGGATGGCTGGGCTCCGGCTGCCCGGGCTGTGGGAAGCACTAGCACAGAGGCTTCCCTAGGAAACAGCTCCGGCGTGTTTAGCCAAGGCCACGCGCTAAAGGCCACCGTCCTCCACGGGCTCTCCCACCTGCCCAGGGCACCTGCACTCCATTTGGCCTGTCCCATGTTCATGACACCATGGAGCCACGGTGTAGCCATGGATACATCCCTTAGGATCCCTCTCCCTAGGTGCCATCGGCATGAGCCACCCTGTCATCACAGGGAAGGTGCTGCCCTTACACTACCTGACTTATCTCTCTGGTTCACCCTGAACCCCCGGCATGAAGCAGAATTTCCATAAATATTCGTTGAATGAATAATCGTGAGCTCTGCAAGTACAGAAATAATATTTTGTTCTGCTTTATATCTTTAGGGCCTAGCATAAGGCCCGAGGGCATAGCTTAGTAAACGTACACTGAAAGAGAAGAAATAGCAGAGGAGGGAGTTGGAGACTTTTGTCCTCTTTGTACGTCCCTCCTACACTCCGTAAGTCAACTGAAGTGACCCTGAATGATCAATGAATAATCAATGAATGAATGAACTTCACCCATTGAGTGAAGACCAGATGTTTGTTCAAGTCCCAATCAATTCTTTAAAAATCCACAATTTGTGTAATCCCAGCACTTTGGGAGGCTGAGGCCAGGAGTTGGAGGCCAGCCTGGGCAAATGATTGAGACCCCATCTCTACAAAAAGTAGAAAAAATCAGCTGGGTGTGGTGGCGAGCACCTATAGTCCCAGCTCCTCGGGAGGCTGAGGTGCGAGGATGGCTTGAGCCCAGGAGTTCGAGGCTGCAGCTGCAGTGAGCTGTGATGACACCGCTGCACTCCAGCCTGGGCAACAGAGCAAGACCCTGTTTCTAAAAATAAATAATTTATTTTAAATAGAAAGAAAATCTACAATTTGGTGATGCAGTGGGAGTGGACAGCCCAGCAGGCTCCATGCCAGCACTGACCGACAGCCCATCACCGTGTAGGGCTCTCTGCCTGGCACTTGCCTTCATTCTGCCCTCAGTAGCTCGTGCCCACTTAGTTCCGACACAAAGTCAGACAACCAGCAGCGATGTTTCTAGGTGAAGTGCACTTTCCCTCCGCGGTTCCTCATGTTCCACTAATGTACTGTTTGCTTTTTCCCTAGAAGACGGCTGGCCAGTGACCCTCGGAAGAGGGAAGCAGAAATGGGGCCCCTCCCAGGCAACATGCTCTTTGTTCACAGTGGTGAGGCAGTCGGGGGGCACCAGCTGGTTCTGGGTTCTCTGGGCCACTTCCCTGCTCTGGAGCGTCACAGAGAGCCAGGAAAAGACGCGGTGCGGAGTCTGGGGAGAAGGGGAGGCCCCTCCACACCAGGGACACCCTGTTCAGGGGCAGCCTCCCCAGCAGGAGCTCATCTGGCTTCTTCCTACACACCTCCAGCCACAGGGTGCTCACTACCTCACAAGATAGTCCCTGCCATCGTGACAGCGAGCTTACGCTTTTCTCCCGACACCTCCACCATCTCAGTAACCGGCCTGTCTGCTGGGCCCAAGGGGCCCACCCCTCCCCTGCATGGCGGCCCTTTAGGTGGGTGGAGAAGGCGCCTGAGTCCCTGAGGCTGCTCTGCTCTGGGCCGCAGAGCCCACCTCCCTCTCTACCCACCACAAAAGGCCAAGCTCTGACATCCTGGCCTCCTGCTGCGTTTGCCCTCCGTGGAGCCTCCACAGCGAAGGGCGTGGGGGCACGTTCCTCTCCGTGCAAATGTTGGGCAGCGCCATCGCCCCCGCTGGCCCTCTCCTCTCCCAGCAGCTCCTGAGGAGGTGGCAGCGTCTGTCTGACTCTCTCTCACTCTCAGGCATGGGACAGACTCCGGGTCACCCGGGGATGGGAAGGACAAGCACTAAGCCCCTGCCAGCATCCCCCCCCGCCCCGGCCAGATGCACAGCCTTGAAGATACACACTTGGATTTCTTCTGCAGGTTCTCCAGGTTGGTCTTCAGAGTGTTGTAGGCAGCCGTTCGGGTCTTCAGGTCCGTCTCAATCTGTGCCAGTTGCTATTGGGGAAAGCAAGAGCTCCTGGTGACCTGGCGTATTGAAGAGTTGGTCAAACGCTCCACAATGGCCACATATGGCTCATGGTGCACTTGGGAAAAACAGCGACGCAGCCCGTTTGCCCAAGATGGCCAACGCGTACCCCTCTCTGCTCAGCCGGGAGTGCCGGCACTTGGCCCTTACAGGGAGCCCACGCGTGACGGCAGGGAGGGGCACTTGTCCCTCCTTTACAGATGCCGAGGCGCTGAGCAGGGTCGCACAAGCTCAACTTCCTCCTGATTTCAAGGCCATCCTGCAGGGTTGGGGGGCCCAGCCCCGCCGGCCTCCTCAGGCTCTGCCGGGGGAGCCTGGGCTGCCCCAACCCTCAACCCTCAGTGCTCACAAATGCCCACGTCCCCGGGCACGGCCGTGCCCACTTCCCGGCTCCTTTCAGCGTGGAGGCAGGTCACCATTCACGTGTCCCAGGGGACCCCCTTGTTTGGAGTTCCAGGGTTTAGGGAGAACACTCCAGATGCCCCTCCCGGGCTGGCAGGAGCAGGATGGTGTGGTGCAAAGAACTGAGATGGGCACAGGCTCCTCTGCTTTCAGGCCGACTGGCCTCAGGCTTCCCATCTGCCCACCCCAAGGGGCAGGGATGGGCGATGAGCAAAGGGAAAGAGAATGAGCCCAGGGCCCAGCTCCCCGAAACAGCAGTAGCCATTGAGATGACTGTTGCCATCGAGCATTTTGTGGCCACTGAAACCAGTTCTTCCGCATGGTGAGTCCCTGTTACACGCAGACCACCGGCCCTGCCCCCACGTGCTGACACTTGACGGCAGGGTCCATTACAATGGAATCAGTTCAACGGCGCAGACCCACATTGTGGAACACCGTGTGGCCGTCGCCACGGAGGATGTGGCCACCTGCACACGAGCGCCCAGGTGGGGGAGGCTCCTGGGAGTCCCACCCTCTCTGCTCAGCCCACGTTCAGTGACACCTCCCAGCCCTGGCCACGGGGGAACACGAGCGCCACCAACATCGCCAACAACGCGGCAGGAGAGCGCACTGCTGCTGCTGAGGGAGCAGCTCGAGTCCTTAGGTGAAACAGTGGACAATCTGTAGGATGTGAACCCTTTCGAGTCTAAACATGCATATTTTGTATATATGGAAGAATCCACCTCAAACATCGGTTATCTTTTGGGAGAATAAAGGGAGTGGGGGTAGGGGTGATGATCTCAGGAGGCCTTTAACTTTTTTTTAATATTTTGCTAGTTTCATTTTGTATAAGATTAATTGCTTTTTATAATTTTTTAAACTTTTTATTTTGAGATGATTACAGATTCACAGGAGGTTGCAAAAATAATACAGAGATCCCAAGTACCCTTCATGCAATTTCCCCCGCTGATAACACCTTCCTGCACAACCACACAACTGCACTATACTGTGCTATACAACTACACTGCACAGTCTACAACTACGCTATTCTGCACTATCCAACTCCACTAAACAAATACACTGCTACACTATACTGTTCTGTACTGTACAACTACACTACACTGTGCTACACAACTATACTGAACAAGTATACAACCACACTACACTCCCTGTGCAACTATACTGTGTTGT